AACTCTTAATTCTTTTCAAAAAGGATAGAACATTATCACAATAAAATAAACTGAACTGTGAATATGTAAGTAGTGTCTGCTGGGATATTGTCCTGATACAGAAGGAAATGGCCTATACAGTCATCTAAGAAGAGTCAGTCAGACCACATTTGAAACAAGAAGCTATGGAGCCTGCAAATTAATCTAGAAAGCCAGCCAATGCATACTGTTTTCTACTTGTTGATCAGCAACATTCTGATGTTGTCCAAACAAGTAGGAGAGGCTGCAATCTTGGCTTACCCAAAACAATTACCTGTTACTGTGATCTGATTATCATGCTAATATTTTGGCTCCTCTGCTTCTGAAAATCAGCTTGTTCTTTTCTAATACAGGTGAAAAATTCCATGTAACTTTGAAAGATAAAGGCAATGGATTTAAATAGTCTAATGAATATTTATCATCATGAAAATCTTGTTCTAGACACAGACTCGTCAGCGTGTAGTTTGTTCTCCTATTCTCAGCTGAAGTCAGCGAGGGGGGAAAGAATAGAAACAAGTATTCTCAAGTAGTCTAAACTTCTGTACTGCTTTCTGGAGAAGACCTGAAGCCACTTTATTTGTCACATGTGGGAATAAGATACAAAGATTTTAAAGACAAAGCTGTTAACAAAAGTTCTCTGTAACCTCTGTACCCAATCTAGACAAGTTATAGACTCTGTCAGTGTTGTTGATCAGTCTTGAGGAAATCACAGCTTGCAAAACACCTGAGAAGGCTAGCGGGTGGCATAACTTTAGAAGGATTTTCTGTCAGTCTTCCTGAAATTGTTAAGTGCCCTCAAGGGTTTGTGACTGAATTTTACATGTGGAGTGTTTCCCAGGTTCTTGAAACAGGGTGAGAGCTCAGTAACTCCCCATGCTGATGGATGGGGGAGTTGTCCTAATATTTAGCACAGAAATACAACTTGAAAATATGTAATGCAAATTTTTTTAATTTATGATTGGATAAGTGAAAGTTATAGTTGGAGAGCATGTGGCGTATGATCTAACACTGTCCTTTCTTCTCCAAGTACTCCTCCCTTGGGGTTTAATCATGGGTGCTGGAGGTGGAGGTTTTCTCACCTACAGGAGGGAGGCCCCAGCTCTGGATCTTGCTTTCCTTGTTGATTTGATGGGTGACTTTCAGTGCAACTTGTTCCATCAGGTTCTTTTTCTTCTGGCAGAGATACATAGCTAGGTAGAAGGTGATAACTTTTATTAATTTTGAGGCTGCTTGTTTGCTGTATGTTGCTTTTTCATAATGTTGTCCTAACGTCTGCTATATTGGTTGTGTGGAATTTGGGTGTTCTGTTTTAACCCTCCCAGTATGTATGAAACCTTGCAGAGTAAGAGATTTGTTGTATGAACTCACAGCTCTTTCAGAATTGAACAGGGTATGTAGTGAGTGGTGAAAATTATTGTTTGATTACAGAAGTCTTACAGTTTCCTCAGTTCTCAAGCTTTCAGCCTTCAGCTGTTGCTATGATGTGTCCTACTGAGATGTGATCTCGTGTTGGATCCGGCTTATGCTTGCAGTTTACAGCTCAAGAGATTACTGTGTACTCCTGGAAGCGTGGTGTTTGGTTCGACCTGCATCACCATGACTCAGTGCTTTGTTGCAGAAACCGGAGTGCTGCAGTGAAGGTTTTTGAGCTTGGGAGTTAAGCCCTGGAAAGTAGCAGTTGATTCGGTTGATCTCTTTATGGTAGTATGCCCTTCCTATATCTGCACATCCCAATTGTGGTTACATCTCTTTATGAACACACATCAACTAAGAACAGGTTTTTTTCTGTTAACACTCTTTTTAAAATAAGACAAGTGATAGCTCTCAGTATTAAATTTTATTTGTAGTTTTTACACCATTTGTGTTTACTCTTAGAAAAGCCTCAGTTGCCATTGCAAAGCAGAGCGTTTTCTAGCCATTTGAAAAAAGAACCGAATTGCCTTCTCTAAATTGCAAACAAAAGTCAGTGTTGGGCATCAGGAGGAAAGGATGATTCACTAGTACCGAGGATAGGAAAGCTGTCTGCTTACCCTGCCACAATGAGAGAAGCTCAGGTATAAGGTGATATAGGTGTCTACGGTGAGACTTCCAATTAAGAGCTATATTCCTTAAAGTACCTCTGCATCAAATTAGACTGTTCAGATAACTTCACTGATGATAGTTTAATGTTTGAGAATGTGAATGCTTCAAATGACTGAATTCCTAGTGTCTTAATTTATTTTCATCTGTGATATATTATTAAAAAGCTACTAATTCAACTCCTTTTTATTAAAGGGAAAAACATATTTCCTTTAATTAAGAATAGTACTTATGTATAGCTTTTATTTGAATTATCTGGGACTTTAATTTTTCTTCAAATACGCTCCGGAGAAGTTACATATGATTCAGGTTTTGTTCCAAGATTGTTTTGGTATTCAGTTTAGCACTGCTTTTTAAGAGGAATGGAAAGTACTGTGAGCCTGCTCTGTAGAAGTCTGGTAATGCGTGTTTTTCTTGTTTCTCAAGGTAGTCCTGTAGCAGTCTAAGCCAACTTTTAACACTGTTTAGAAAATATAATGAACATGATACAGCTTCCTAACTGTTACAAAAAGTTGCATGTGTAATAGTAAGTGACAGCAGAATTATTCATTTGCTTAGGCATGTGTTCACACAGTTAAGCAAGCCTGAACTGCAGTCTGAGGGAAGATCATTGAAAAAAAAAAAAAAAAGAAAGGGAAATGTTGGCAATCATTCAAAACAATAAAATATGAGCATTGGCTACATAGCTTATATTAAAATGGATTAAACCAAATGACTGAATAAAACCGATTATTTCAGTCTTGTTGTTGTTGTAAACATGATTGCTCTGGTTTTATTCTGGTCTATAAAAAAAACCAGAAGCCTGAATTCACTCTTGTTCAGGAAAGTTTTGAACCTGTACTCAAAGTGTAAACTGCTGCTAAGTTCCTATTAAATGGAAGTACCTTTTGCACAAACTGACTTGATAAAATATGAATACATGGTAAAGTGCTCTGCTGAATTAGAGCCACCAACTAAAGCAGGAAAAGCATTGCTTTTTATACGTTTAAAATGGTAAAGCAGCCTGAGCGACTGAAAAGTTGCTTCAAGAGGTAAATTCAAATAATTTAGAATATAGAGAATTAAGAATGTTTAATGAAACAGCTCAGGTATTAAGAAATGAGGGTCAAATCTTACAGTCTATACTTACGCAAACTGCAGGTCCTTCTGAGTTCATTATGAATAGGTATGTCAAATCTGTCTGTAAGTTATATTCTCCTCTAGCAGGAAAACCTCAGTAGCAATTGGGAGAACTTTCTTCATGCAGTCAATAGGTTTGAAAAGAGAATTGCAGATTTATTTTAATGAATAAATATGCAAATACAGAATTAAATATTTTTTTAAAATTAAATTATATTAAAGTTTTTGTGGAAAGGTTCTAGAGAATGTGGACCTGCTGCTAAATAGGAATGGGGACATGTTCACAAGGACCAAGGAGAAGCCTAAGATGATGAATGCTTTTCTTGCCTTAGTCTTTGCTGGTAAGAGTGGCCTTCAGCAATTCCAGGTCCTTGAAACCAATGGGAAAGTCTAGGGGAAGGCCAGCTTACCCTTGGTGGAGAAGGAGCAGGTTGGGGAATATATAAACAAACTGGACATATGGAAGGTTCATGGGCTGTGATGGGATGCTGCCACAAGTGCTGAGGGAGCTGGCTGGTGTCATCGCAAGGCCACTGTCAATAATTTTTGAAAAGTCATGGTGACTGGGGGAGTTTCTCGAGAACTGGAGGAAAGCAAACATCACCCCTGTCTTCAAGAAGGGCAGGAAGGAGGGTCTGGGGAACTAAAAGCCTGTCAGCCTCATATTGATCCCATTCTTGTTGATAAATATGACAAATAAATACATAAATATGCATTGTGGAATAACCACAGTCCCCAGCACATGCTGGGGGGCTGACCAGCTGGGAAGCAGCTTTCCAGAGAAGGCCCTGGGAGTTCTGGTGGACAAGGCGCTGTGAAGATGAATGGGAGCCAGCAATGAGCCCTTGTGGCAAAGACCTCCAACATCATCCTGTGCTGTGTTAAGCAGAGCATTGCCAGCAGATCAAGGAAGGTGATTCTTCCTCTCTGCTCACCGGTGATGAGACACGTCAGGAGTGCTGGGTCCAGTTCTGGGCTCCCCAGTACAAGGGAGATACAGACATAGTGGAGTGGGTCTGGTAAAGGGCCATGAAGATGATGGAGTGGAGTGTCTGACAAATGTGAGGAGGCTGAGAGAGCTGGGACTGTTCAGCCTGGAGATGGAGAAGACTCAGGGCAGGTATGCGTAGGAGGAAAACCAGATCTTCCTTGGGGTTATCCAGTGTCAGGGTGAGAGGAAATAGGCACAAACTGAAATGCAAGAAATTCCATCTAAACAAAACCTTTTTTTGTGTAGTGAGGGTGGTGAACCACTGGAGCAGACTTCTCACAGATCTTGTGGAGCTGCCGTCTACAGAGATATTAAAAATCTGACTGGATGTGGTCCTGGGCAGTCTGCTCTAGCTGACCCAAGCAGGGGCTCAGACCCCATGATCCCAGGCAGTCCCTGCCAGCCTCCACCCCTCTGTGGATCTGTGATCTCTTAGGTCTTTAGAGAGTTCACCCTCAGTTGCACCTGTATTTTTGTTTTCCAATGCTCTTTCAAATTTGGACCATCCGGAGGTACACTGATCACATCACAAAAAAGGTAGTGGGTTGCCTGCAGGTCTGAAGCAACTTTATTCCTTATATATTTATTGGGCTTTAAAACTACCACGTGTTTCTCTTTGCAGTACTGCAGTCTGGCTCCATTCTTGCATGTGTGTTTAGTCATAGAGAGTGCTAGAAGAGTCTGGATAAATAATTCTGTATTAAGTAATAGAGAATTTAACATTGATAACTAAGATCATTAACAAATATGGTAATAGAGCAAATGTATAACATCCTCTAACCCTGTCTTTCAGTCGTGGCCTATGTATGAAGAGGTGTACACCAAAATGCTTGAGCTTGCAGCGTTTTTAGACCTGCCCCGTTTTCCAGATATAACAGACAGCTGCTTTCTTCATCCAGACATGTTGTGCATGAAGTACTTGATGGAAGCTAATTTACCTGGTAAATATTTTCCCAAACCTGAACTGATAAAATTTTTCTTTAGTTTATTAAACTCTAGCAAAAAGACTTGAATTACTACTTTAAAAGTGCCTACTCTTTTCCTTCTAATTTATGTCCATTTAAGCTTGAACTGAAAGATAATTTCTATAGAAAGCACCTTCATCAAACATTTAGAGTATGTATTATAGGCCTAGATATGGAGGGGCACTCTGGTGCTGGCTCTCTAGGGCTGTGGAGTGGATACTTCATTTCAAATCTTTCAGTATCCATGTGAACTAAGAGGCACTAGTTGAATTCACATGATTTATTAACTTTAGCTAAACAATTCATCAAGTTGGGACCTGATTGCTTAGCATGGGAATTATATATAATATTGTCCGTATATTCTATAATACTGCATTTTAGCATTAATTTTAATATTAGCGAGTGATGCTGTATGACAAATCAGCTCTTTTCTCACTTGGTTTCCAATTTAGTTTTGAAATCATATATTGCATAAATATTGAGTATTTTTGTTTATCTTAAAATTAAGTCTTTAATATCAAATTACCAAAGAAAGACCAGTAAGTCCTAATAGGTGAACTATGGGCTACGATACTTTCTGACAAATTCCACTGTCACTGGATATGAGTTATATAGACAAATAGCCTGTAAATTTGGGTTTTTTTTTTCTTCAAAGCATTCCAACAATTAATAGTTTGGGGGGGGGTTATTGTCTTATTTTGCAATTATTTACATTGAATAAAGCTACTTGGCTTTTCTGTTTACTCACAGTTGAATGAAGAGAAAATAACCAACATATTTAGGGCTCAAATTCTAGAATTGAAATTCTGATTGTGTAGTTTTACACTAGTATTGTGATCCTGTAGAGGATCACATTATTTTTCAGATTTTGAAGTATCAGTTGAATCAAAGGCAAAGCTAGAAATTTAGCATTTTCAGATTAATTACAGAGAAATACAAAGCTAAATACTCTTTGAAAATTACTGTAGCAGAATAATATATTGTCCTTTACTTTTTCCTTACAATTAAACTTTTTATCCTGTAGAAGTGTTTTTTTCCAAATTGAAAAAGGACTACTGTTGTTGTCTAACAACTCATTAAAAAAAAATAACAAGCAACCAACTGACAGTGTTTTGTAGGACAATAAATATTAATGAAACGGCCATTTTAAGTATCTGAAAGAAAAGAAAAGAAAATATACTGACTGTATTTATTAAAAAATTTGATTTCTAGATTTTGTTTAACTTACTATTATGTACGAGAGGATTAAAAATTAGTTCCTACTGAACTCTTTGTAAGCAGCAGGAGAGTATAAAGTATAGCTGGATTAAGGTTGTACTTAGTCATACATTGCTAACCTTTGTGGAATCTGATGGTGATGTAATCAACTCCTGTATTTCTTGCTGAACAGGAAAGGTGAGAAATTTGGGGTATTTGTATCTGTGAAAAATAAGCATAGAGTAATAAGAGGCTGTATAGATCCCTTAGTGCTGCTTTCGGAGCTGTAGTTGTATCTTTTTGACATAAGCTGCACTAGTGCGTGCAATTAGGCTTTCCAGTGTAGAGCCAGCTGTAACCTAGGCTGGGCTTGTTTGTACCTCAGCGGGGTTTTGTTGGAGTAGCAGCAAGCACTGCCCTGCCACAGTTAGGCTGCTCTTCATACCCAGCTAGCTTCTTTAAAACTAGCCCCTCTTCCTCTCTGCAGTACTGAATCCATCCTTGCATGGGTGTTTGGTCACCATGCAGGAAATAGTTTGTGACAAGTTTTTGGCTTTAGGGGTTTTTTTAAAACTATATTTGTGTAGATTTAAGATAGGCTTTCCCACAACAATGTTCAGGATGATCTAACAATGTAATTCAAGTAACATCAAAACACTGTTAAAAATTTGATTTTTTTTTTCCTTCCCCACCCCTGCCATGTGAATATATCATAAATCACAACTGTTTTCCATGTAAGCACAGGGAAGGTTGCCTATTATTTTTAAAAATACCCAAGAATACTTCTCATCTTGAAAAAAATTGCTGTCTAATAGTGATAAAAGACCTAAACATTGTTTTCCTCAAGTTACCTAACATATTTACAGTGTAAAAGTACTTCTAGCTTGTCTCAACATGCTCATTTTATATTTTTATTTACGTTAATCAGATGAATTGCATAATTGGACTTGTCGAGTGGTCAAAAAGATCAGTATTGGAGAAGCGGATTTCCTGACTCTTGTGCCTGGAAATAAGTCAACACGAAAAGTGAAATACGATGTTCTTGCTGCAGCAGTTATTGTAGTTGTGCTCAAATTATTGTTTTTATTAGATGATCACTATGAATGGTAAGTGTGCAGGCAAATCATAGCAAAGCCCAAATTTCAAATAGTACAAATGATTGTCTTGAACTATTCTTTCTTTAGTAATATTAAATTTATAGCATTTGAATTTCTATTAAATTCAGTAGCATAAAACATACACATGAAGGCATTTTAGACATTAAATATTACTTATTTTTAAAAATCATCAGTTTGAATCTGAAGCTTGGAAGAAAAATTAGTGTGTAATTTTTGTCAGTTGTATTTGAACTTCATGTCAAAAGTACAGTATTTGGATATACAAAATAGCCTGATTTTTATATTTTTTTCAGGTTACTTTCAGACTTCGCTGAAGAAAGAAATAAAAATAACAAAGAAGGTACATAAATATTCTAGTAGAAGCAATCCTAAGATTTTGTAAATGAAATAACTTTGTAATCAAGCTTAGAAAAACTCATTGATCATTAATTTTTTTTTTTTGTCATCTATTTTTTTAGGGCAAATCTTTATTCAAAAAAACAGTAGATCCTGTTTCTGTAAAATTGTCTCAGTTTACTTGCATAATTCTTATTGTACTGGATAGGGGAATTTGGTACACATTTTGCTAGCTACCTTTCTGCTTCCCCTTGTACATATTTGCGTTCTTGTTTTAGAATTTTATGCATGCTAGGTGAAGATGAATGGATATGCAGTGAAGAGGGAACGTACTTTGATCGTAAATAGCAGATACTTATTAGGGGCATCAAACCATGTTTATGATAAAATCCAAACTTGTTTAGTCTTGTTAAATAAAATGTCTTAGTGTGTAACATATTTCAGATGTAATCTATTTTCTTAGTCCAAATAATCCTGAGAGAGTGTGGAAAAGCTAGCAGCAATTAAGATAGAGAAGATAATGGTGTGAACGTGGCTCTTTGAGGGCAGGAAGACCAAATCAGAGATTAGAAATCTTCAGGAAGATGTTCCACGGCCTGATCAAGATCACAGCTGAAGATAAGATCAAAGATGTGTTACAGTGGTTTAGCTTTTAGCCTTCATCCAGTTTTGGTCCGTTTTGACCCTTCTGTTACTTCTTAAAAATTTAAGTCAGTAATAAAATCGGCATTAGCCATGTGTGTGCACAATTACTGCTGTATCTAGAGATAGACATCACTGTTAACGAAAACTGGTAATTCTCATTTTCAAGTGGATGCACAAACTTATTTTGGCTCTTTTTTTCCCTTTTTATTTCCCTTGAAAGCTTGAAGTACATAATAATGACAAGAGTAGAAGTTGTGCAACTGCTTAGAAGCTGAGACTTCATGTCTTAATGGTGTTTCTCCCTTATTAACAAGTCTCATTGCCCTTGGGAATTAACAGCTCATTCTTTGCCCACTTTTTTACTTAAAAATCTGCTGGTGCAAAATGATGCATGTTCTCTGCTCTGTTGTCCCTGTCCTTAAAGCGTGGAGGTGACGGTGAGCAGCTGTGCGGAGGAGCTGATGTGAGAATGTCTGTTAGAGCACTAATCAGTGCCAGAGCTCAAAACTGCCTCTGGCGTTTTCCCAAAGTTAGTGTGCTAAAATGAATAATGGTTAATACTTAATTTTAAAGATCCAATTTATGTTGACTGCATTCTCAATTTAACTATCCTTTCTCTAGTCTTTTTTTAATTAAAAAAATAGTATTTCAGCTCCTACAGTTTTTCAGGGCAGACTGGAAACTGTACAGTAGATAGTTGTAGTTACCTACCGTGTGTGTGTCTATGTTCTATGAACTGCACATGTACACAATACTGTTCATGTTCATATAAACCATGGGATTGAGATGTATATATGTATGTGTGTGTATCACAGAGCTGTGTATTTTTCAGTCAGCTTAGCTACATGAGCATCAGACTAGCAGTCTGGTCCAGGTAAACGGTTATTATCACGTCTCTGCAATGGTTCTGCTTGTGACACATGCTTAATAATTCATAGGAAGTTTTAATAAAAATTTCCACCCCCCAGCCCAGACTGCTCTCACAGGAGTTTAGGAGTCCTTACTTAAACTTTTGGGCTTAAGGAGTTCATAAAAGAAGTTGTATCCACACCTTTGAATTTTAAGAACTATTAAGGGTCTTTCTTCCCTTAATTTCTCTGTTGCTTTTTGAGTCCATTTGTATTTCTACAATCTAGGACATCCTGTGGCAGGATAACTTGAATAGCAAAAATGCAGCTAATACAAAATGTATATAAGCTTGATTACACGAACAGTATATTCACCTTCAAAACAGTTTAAGCAGCTAGCTGGCAAAGCTAAGCATGATGCAAGCGTCACATTCAGTGCAGCTAGGGTGATGGGGAAATGCAAAGCCTGGGTAATTCACAATGCAGATAATCCACCCACGCGTAATAAGAGTTGATTATATTTTAAATATATAAATCTACACCGTAGTCCTATTTGGAATTCTTATACTTACTGTACCTACTGGTCTACTTCAGTCCTGTATCTCTTCAGAGCGTTTATGACAAATGTGCTGCTAGGATGCCATATGCCCTCATGTTTTCGCATGTGCTGGTAAATATTTGTTCACATATCAACAAGTGAAGTTCCTGTGCTCAAAAACATGGGAAGCTGATACAAAGTGGATACAGTTGTCTAGTTTAACTTTCCAGCCCTGTAAGGTTTCATGGGTGGCAGGATAAACTATGTGGGGAGTTGATGAAACTGTTTGAAATTTTACACCTGAGCTGGTTTAGACCTTACTTGTTTAAACCTAAGCTTGACGTATAGTTTCACGAATTCCTCAAAGTCAATTTTCAAACAGGTGAAGGCCACTTCACACCGCTGAGATCTAGTTCATTTGTAGAGAGGAGCTAGTTTCTAGGCTTAACTTTCAGAAATGAAGGAAGAGGTTTGAATTGTGCTAAATCTATGAAATCTAAGCTAAGGTAGTCTTCGTACTTCTTTTGACATGCTGTTCTTTCACTGCATTTCTGCATTTCTCTTTCTCACAGAATTGTTAGATCAAAAATGTTTTCTTTAAGCACAAAGAATTCAGCATAGGTTTGTATGCACATGGAAGACGCAGGGTCTAACTGCATGGAGACCACCTTCTGTGTACAATGCATTTCTTTTACTTCTTCTCAACCTAAATGTGTATGTTTTATTCAGATGGTCCGTATTTTGAGTACAAAAAGTGGTACAAAGTTATAAAATGTTCCTTGGATGTGGAGCAAAAGAAAATGGATGAAGAAAGAGCCAAGTAAGAGGTTTTGAAGTACTTTTTCTTTTTTAAGGAAGACAGTTTTACGTGAAATCCTCACCCCCATAGAAATTAAAAAGGTTAGGAATTTACTCCACATTTCCATCCAGCAAGCTTGGTTGAACAGAGTGATTAAATCCCTATCTTAATTTTCTATTTACTCTCATAATGTTTATCCAGTGTATTAATTAAATGCTTACTTTCTGTGACAAGTAGCTTATACAGCTGAAAAATTAACTGATAACAGTAAATCTAGGCTTACATGTCTGGGTTTGCCTACTCTGAAAAAAGACTTTCTAGATGTGTTGGAGGGGAATGGCTTTTAATAGCACTAACCATTAGATTATTTTATTTTAATAGCTCTAGCAGTATTTCTAAGAAATTACTGTTCTGTTACTTGTTTGCTACAGCTTTCTTTTTCTTAACAATTCTTACGTCTCTTACTGGTAGGTATCTGTGGAGATGTGAAAAGCCACTGTTTTATTCAGCCGAGAAGAAATCTAAAGTTCTTAAGAGAAGACGTGAGTAAACTTTGCCTCTTCCCAGCAACACAGAAATCTGCTCCAATTTTTCCCATCATAGAAAAGCTGCAGCCCTCACTGTGATAACATTTACATCTTTAAATACTTACTCCTCTCTTTCATCTCTGGGTACGAGTAAGGTAGTACTGTTTTACAACCTGTGGCTGGAATTCTTCAGACATTTTCCTCATGCTTAACTGAGACTGCCTTTGCCAGTCTTCCTAATGACGTAGTGAACCTCGTCTCAGAATGAGTACTCTGTCCTCATCTTTCTTTCAGGAATGCAGTTGGGGTTTTTTGAATGTTCTTACTCTTCAAAATTTGATAGGGGTGACCCTGCAGTCAAGTCATGTTCTGTGGAAGAACATGTTTACATTTATTTATTTCATTTTGAGCTGATCATTTGCTCAGATGCTCTTTAGTTCCTGTGTTTATGAGAAAAAAAGTGAATAAGGATTCATTGTTTATTATTTCTGTGGCACTCTAGATTCCTCTTCTTGCTCTGCTTTTCTTAATTCTCATACACAGGAAACTACTCAAAAAATCTTAGCCAGTCTGAGTGGTAGCATACAACCAGGTAAATATAGTGAAAGGCATCCTGGCATGTGTTTTCTATCAGAATAAAACTGCCAGCAGTATCGAATGGCTTTTACATGTTTTAGTTGGGGAATGTTTTTGCAGTACCCCAGTGTTAATATCATTGGGTATGAAAGACATGGCATTTTGAATTATCTTTCAAAATCTT